TGGTACGAAGAACAGTTAACTTATAATATGACCTTTTACATATCGGAAATGTTTAGATTTGATGAAAATACTTCCAATGTGAGGTATTTGAAATGATGCTATAAAGACGATGATAGAGTTCAAGAGATCAATGACTTATATTATCATTTAATCCTAATTTGATATAATGTACATTTGTATTACATTTGAATTACCTTCTCAAATATTCACAGTTTAGTAATTCACCTTGCAAATATGTTTTCAACTAATGGAACTTATCAATAATCATGATATGAAATAAATATTGTCTTTCATTATGTTTTTAATTGAATAACAATACCACTGAGCCGGCATCCAACGGTGTTAATGTCTAACTTCAACCAATCCACGAAGTTGCGCCACCGTATACCATTGTCATCAGTGAGCTTATATCTCACAACAGACCTAGTTGAACTCCACTGGTAACGGCTTCTCACTAGAACTCTAGGAGTATCTCTTGAAGTCAGTCACTAGTGAGCAGATGATTATTATTAGAAGGGGTTTGTGGAGATTTTAGAAATTTTCACAGATTGAAATCACCACCATTGAAAACCTAGCTTCAACTGACTCATGATTTCAATCTGTGAAAATTTCTAAAATCTCCACAAACCCCTTCTAATATATTCTAATTGACTGAAATAATGTTTCGCTATTAGATGGACTTATTTCTAGTTAGCACTTTATTTGTTGCATAAATTACCAATCCACGGTGGTTATCCTTAACTGTACTTGTTAACCATCAAAATATTTTTATTTCAGTTTGAAGTGATCAAAATTCAGTAAAAAAGTTCGTCCCGGAACACTTGAACACACATGACTCCACAGGGGGGGATTTAACCCACTATTTTCAAGTCTCATGATGATTACCTAACTGTTAAAAATACAACTTTTAACGACACACATTTTCAGATTCAATTTATTCGCTATTTAGCATGATGTTCATTCAATTTATTAATTAGTAAGGACTTTCACTATACTGGTCACAACTTTCCACTAGCATTTGAACAACTTATTTCGAAGTAAACTGACTATTGTAGTTTAGATGAATCGGATTTGTGGAGATGATACTAATTTGTAGAAGTCTTATTATAGGACAAAACACATCTGCAGTGCTCTTTAGTATTATATAGTACCTGAAATAAGATTATTTGTGACGAATATCACCTGAAAACTAATCCTTACAAAACTCCTTCATATGAACTTTTCGATATAATAATAGGTTAACTATCTTCACATTTAATATCTTTGGTCAAATAAATCAATGTAAGGGACTAAATTACACTATGACTCAGGCTAGCTTCCTGTTGTATTCAGTTCAAATTGGACGTGTATGTTTTGCATCATTCATCTCTATCTTACTAAGTGAAAGTATTACGCAATCGAGAAACCGTCATTAAAGTTGACCAGTTATCGAACTGATTCTATCACTTTGACTTAATTCATGACTAAAAGTACATTTATATTATTACTACAATACGCATTGGAAGCATGCATACATACAAAGATTGAGATACTATTAAAAATTGTCTAAAAACTAAATCGGTTGTGACCTTTTTTATTCGAATAGAAAATCATTCATTTCAACACAGCATGCGACTGATTAAAGTCTAGATGTATGTTAACTCAAACAATGGTTTTCATCACATATGTCAATATCATTTCAACAATCAGTAATAGTTTCGCGAATTCCTAATCTACAGATTCGTCTCATTATTCCTTTCCTTCCTCAGATAAATAGGTTGATGTCATTATAGTGTAACAATTATTGAGTTATATCTCCCGTTCGAATATTATTTAACACAAATAAATATTTCAATAGTTGAGATCATGAGTCAATTGACCACTGGACGACCGCTTCGTCCTATTGTGGGACTCCTCACCAGTGCGCATCCACGACATTGTTGTATGCCAGCTCAGTGGTCTAGTGGTTAAGCGGTCGCACACGAGGCTGATAGGTCCTGGGTTCGAATCTCGCGAGGTAGGATCGTGGATGCGCACTGCTGAGGAGCCCCACAATAGGACGAAACAGCCATCCAGTGCTTCCACGTTTTCCATGGTGGTCTAGCTTCAATTGACTCATGATCTCAACCATTAAGATATATTCGTTGCTTACTTAGAAATAGTATCAAATAATTCAAATATTTATCGAACTTAGAGACTACGGAAAACATCATTGATTTAGTAGGGAAAATATTTTCTATTCAGATCATGAACTGATCAATGTTAGACCACCATTGAAAACCTGGAAGCACTAGATGGCCGTTCCATCCTATTGTGGAACTCCTCAACAGTGCCCATCCACGATCCCGCTCGCTGGATTTGATCGGTTCATGATCTCAATCAAAAATTTAACAATTTCCACAACCTCACAAAGATATTTTTGTAAAAGTAATAAAAATGTTTTTTTCCTTCTTCGTTGACATGTATATTATGATCGAGGGATATTGAATAATCTCAAGCTGACTGTTTTTTTTTTCTTTATTTTTTTCACTAACAATGATCATATTGCATGAAACAGCAGATAACTGTTGAAAATGGATTTTTAAAATTTATCCGTTTAATGTGAAATACTGTTGTATATGAAGTGATGTTGAATACTTTATTCGTGTTGTTTCGAAACTACTTCATATAGTGTTTTTTTTTAATATTTTTCACATCTATTTCTTTCCATCTACTTGAGTTGTAGTTAACAAGTCACAAGTACTTTGATATTAAATTTTCAATTTGCATATATGAGATCATGAGTCGATTAAAGCTATACTACCATGGAAAACCTGCAAAAACTGGACGGTCAGTTCGTCCTAGTATGGGACTCCTCAGAAGTTCGCATCCACAATTTCGCATGTGGGACTCAAACCCAGGATCTTTGGTCTAATATCCACAAAACCCCTTCTGATACTAATCTGCATATATGTTTCTTATATTAGTTTAATGACCTATACTTGGTTTTATTCTCACTAGATTGTCGGATACATTTTCAAATTAACTATTAAATTTTTTATTCTCCAGTTATTGAGAAAATAACATGGTTGACATATTTTGATGTTTATAAGAACTGATACTTGCTCATTAAATAACTGGGAGCCTTATTATGATTACAATATACTACCTTCATATGCATACATGATGTTTTACTTTCTTCGTACTCTGGCTCGTTTGTATCTACTAGATTGTGTTTCGAACAGATCTATGAATTTAAATTGCATATGCTACGTTCAACAATCTGACTTATTCTACGTAAACAATAACAGACTGTTGAGTCAGTCATTGGCAATTAAGAACTTAATGTTCTCGTTCTCACAACATTCACTGGATTTATCTAAGTCGCCTAAAACCTTATTAAGATGGGAAAATTTTACTTCTTTTATTTTTGCCATTGATTAAGCATCTGAACTGGAAAAGAATCCAATAAATTTACCATTGACTTGCTGGCTCACAGAAAAAAAGTAACTAAGAAATTTAGAGAACTTTATTTGGAGATAAGAAACTATGTATGAACTTATCACCAAAATAGTATGTAATTTAATGTTGCCAGGTCTTCGATGCCAACAAAACTCTACTAAATCAGATTTCTAATATAAACAATTATCTAAGTGATTCACTAATAAAGTTAAGGTTAATCACGTTTAATAAAAAAATGAAGCATATTGTTGTTTTAAAGATCGATTTTGTGCAATGCTATTTGAAGCATGAAACCAATGATTCTTCTTATCTAATAGAGTCTAACATGTAGCTGTATTTATTTTCACAATCAAGATTAGAGGACACGAATTTCATTAATCAGTGCCATCTGTGTTACTCTTACCATATTTTTGATTTGTCCACTCCAATTCTACACCAGATAACATTGAATGTTCTGATAAGGAATGAATGAACATAAAAATCACTTACCTAAAACACCTAAATTTACTCATTTTTAAAGTTTCACTAATTGATTCTTTTCATTGACTTAAATCTAGACACCCTAAGGTTAACATAAAAGCTTAAATACGTGTTTGAATTAAAGTAAAGTAAAAACTGAGGTAGATCAATATGGATTTATTTTATTTCTTACAATAAAGCCTGGAAACTAATAACATGGATTATGTGATAATTATGAAAGATTCGGAGATTTTGTGTAGGCTTAGGTAGTTAGATAAGAGACAAACAGATGGGTGAAAAGATGATTTTAGTGTACGTAAAATAACGAATCGTTTGGAGAAAATTACCTTAAAATGACAATGACAATAATAATAATAGCAGGTGATTTTAATCAAAATTGTGGATTTATCAACGTGGAAATAAACCGATTACTGTCTTGTTGTGAATCTATAAATTCTATCTAAGCTTTCTAATTGCTACTTCTTCAAGTTAATCGAAGAGAAATGGAGTTATTTTGACTGTTGCTTCAATTATTGTTTTGGCTTTATTCAAATTCATAAAGGAGACCAATTGTATGAAATTTTTAATGATTATTTAGAAGTAGGATGACAATCCATACCTAATTTTTTTGAACTATAGGATGTGATCGGTTGTTTTGAAGTGATTATAGGGTCTTTGATAAATCTATAGAAAGGCTGATATGTTTGAGATCAAACACAAATCTTATCAGTTTAGGGGTTGTGGTGATTGTTAAGTTTTTGATTGAAATAATGAGTCAATTGAAGCTAGACCACCATGGAAAACCTGGAAGCACTTGACAGCCGTTTCGTCCTAGTATGGGACTCCTCAGCAGTACGCATCCACGAGATTCGAAGCCGTGACCAGTGGAGCTAATCCGTGTCGGGTAGAAACAGATTTCTATCTCAGTACAATCGAAGATGGTCGCGCAATTTCGTGGATTGGTTGAGGTTAGACATTAACAAATCTTATCGCCAGATTCGCTAACAGACAATATACTTGAAGTTTCACAAAAGTCAATGTTTATTTCGATTTGCAATTGTTATTAAAAGTATTGTTAATATTAACTCATTCAAACAATCTACTTATTTTTTCGAAACTAGGCTGAAGTATCAAAACTTCTACATCGACTTTCTGAAGAAGCTAAACGTGGTGCCGAACTTGTCCAATCACTAAAACACACAGAAGATCAACTAAGAGTAAGTTTTTTTATTTTCGGCCCTATCAAAGTCATATATACTATAGTATAGTATAGTTTTTTCATTCTGTAGAACACTCCGGATTGTCAAAATGACTATTTGAGCTTTCCGTTAATTATAAGGAGAGAATTTATTCATTATTCATCTTAATTATAATTCCTGTCATTTAGATATTTTAAAATACAGATCGACAAATGTTTATACTGATCATTTTCATTGGATAAATTTCAACAAATGTTATATAAAGAACGATCTGTTTGAATTACGCTTAACAGTTGTTTATTAATAAAAAAGACTATGTTTTAGATTATAATTTAATGACTGTATATTCTAGCTTTTATTCAACTATCAACCGTTCTATCTATATATTAATTAAAACAAGGTGGGAGTTAAACTACAATATGATAAAGGAATTTATCTAAAATCTATGAACTGACTAGGTTGTACTCTTTGAAATGTGAATGGATCTGTCTGTCCTGAAAGTGACCAGGTTCAATCAGAGAAAATTTGATAAATTGAAACTGTAGAATCATTCAACTTGAAAAATCTCATTCAACATCTCAAAGTTGATATTAAATTAAAATATTACTTTAATTATTATGAAACAATAATCGTTTTGTGCCTTCAAAATGTGAAATCATGCTTCAGAAATAAGACAAGAATTATTAGGATCACATATGAATCTAATATAATCATCAAGTTGGCCTTTTAGTTTTGGACATGAGAAGCTAATAAAAAAAATTTTTTAAAAACTTTATTTGAGGGATTTGTAAGAAATTAGGCAGAAGGAATACACATTTATTTCTGAGAAGTTACAAATTATCCATATAATACATATATATAGCCTTCAATCGTTCATCAGGATCTTTCTGTGTGTTCTGCCATCTGAATTGTCTTCTTTTCTGGTTTCTAAGTGTTCTGTTGACGCTGCGTTTTCGATGCGCTGAAACAATTCACTCCACCTGACATTTGTTGCAACTTCGATGCCACGCCCCACTACACACTACCTACAGACCTCCTTGTGAGTAGTGTCCACTACAATATGAACTAATCATCACGACGTTCTCTTGCATTCGAATACGTGGTAACTAAGATGTTACTTTCTGCGTATCAAAAACCGAGGTACAGCATCTTTAAATATTTTACTTTGAGTGATGGTAATCAATAATAATAATAATAATAATAATAATAATAATAATAATAATAATAATAATAATAATAATAATAATAATAATACATTATAACCAAAATATCCATTCGAGGTATCATATACGATAATTATGATTTTGTCATTTGAATCCTCAGAGAAATATTTCGAATATGGAAACACTTATCAACAAAGAAATCGATATGCTTGTTGAAGCTCTACAGGAAAAGCGTACACAGCTTATTGAAAATTTACACTCAGAAGTACAACAAAGACGGCAGTATATTCGTGAACAAACCAATCAGGCTGGAAGCAGACTTTCTTCAACAACTAGTTTAATTTACTTTGGTGTAGAATTAATAAAAGAGCGTGAATCATCCGCTTTTATCCAAGTATGTTATTTTTAAACTTACTTATCCCTTTATATTACATAATAATAAATAATGTTGTCAGTCTAAAATCATTCGTGAAAATCTACACCAAACCTCAGTTGAATAGAAATGATGAAGACCACTAGGTGGCATGATTTCTCATGTGAAATTATGTTAGTCAGAAATGAACTTTGACCGAACAGTCAAGATGAACTATTTTAATCACTGTGGTACATCAAAATGCAAGACACTTCAGGCCTGTCATTATTATTTATTTATTATTTTATTTAAGCACATAAACGTTGGTACAAACAGACACCAAATAAATATTCACCACATAAATCATTCGATTTGTATGAGGGCTAGAATACTGCTCAGGTGCCTAAACCGAAGCAGGTGGTTTTCCTAGGAGGCATACCCGTAGCCTTTGACCCAGAGGTCAAATTCACAAGGTAGTGGAGCAACGTCAGGAGATTCAGTTTCATGGTAGCCGGTGACCAACGATTGGTTCATACTCCATTTGTTTCCTCAGGATACTGGAGTCCATGTGCACTACTGGTTTGAAATGAGGGTTTTCTAACTCCCTTTCTAAGTCTCTTAGCATAATCTAAAACGGTCACATAAACTCACAACATAGACTTATTTCTTTAAATTTGGTCTATAATGACAATATGATAGACAGGGCTAAGGTTTTTCAGGTAAGTCTTCTTGAACGACAAATAATTTCTATATTTCACCTTTCGTAATTCTTCTTTACTACGTTTCGTATTTATGCACTTTATTGACTATTTTGAAGTTGAAGTTAGACAGTAACACTGTTGGATACCAACTCAGTGGTCTGGAGGTTAAGCCCGGGACGGATAGGTCCTGGGTTCGAATCTCGCGAGGTGGGATCGTGGGATCGTGGGTGCGCACTGCTGAGAAGTCCTACAATAGAATGAAACGGATATCCAGTGCTTTCAGGTTTTCCATGATGGTCTAGCTTTAATTGACTCATGATTTCAACCATTAAAAAATTACTATAATATCAACAAAATCCCTTCCTATGTTTAATTAAAGTCAAATATTTAAATATCCTAGGAAAAACAGTAATATCAATCGTGCTACTAGTGACTGTATTGTTGAATACTTATTTCTTTGACTGCTAAATTCTCTGAAACCTAGGAAATACAGAAAGGAACTTTTTTCATGTTCTTCGAATCCGTATACCTGGTAGACAAACATGAATAGTTAGGTACAGTTAAAATTAACATGAAACGGTTAATAATGTACTTTCAATTGTTTTAACAAACAGTTTTTCTGGTTCAAGGAGATTAACCACACAACTAAATATGTTGTCAATGAGTCTAAAACAATCTCTTGGTCATTAGAAGGTTACAATTTGCATGCACTGATCCTTAAATGTTGAACGTTAGTTTATCAATAGCTACCCTTGACTAAATCTTATCATTGAATGGTGTTATTAATGTCCTATCCAATTCAGTAGTCATCTAAGCAATCCTAATGAAACATATTGTGTTCATGATTAGAAACAAAGAATAACTCATTAGGATAAACAAATTTTGTTTACGAATTGTTGAGATTGAAACTAGTCTGCTGTTTTACCAGTTGATCTAAATACATCTGAAGTGTAGACAAATTTATAAGTAAAACTGCGAAAATGAATCACTTAAAATATACAACTACTATTAAAACTCTAATTGTGTGAGCTAGTTATGCATAATATGTTGATCAGCTGCAAATATACGTAGTTTTTTTCTAATCATCAAGTATTGCTATTTACAACACCAAGCTGTTAATTAAAGTTTAATCTATCCATTCCCATCAAATAAATGATATCTTAAATAAAGTTACGAATTAGTTAGAGCTAGACATATACGTTAGCTGTTTAAAGGTACAGAGCTTGCTATCAGGCCAAAGGTCCTGGATATGATCTTTGGTGGGTTCATAGGTTTGAACTTCTAGAGAATTCCATACTAGTAAGAAATAGATGTTGTCTATTTTAGATCATTCCATGATTTAAACTATCACAAATAAAAAAAATAGTTCGAAGAAAATCTAGAGCTATGTGCCAAAATTATTTGTTAAGATCTAATTTTTCTCTTATTATCTCTGTGTATGTCTAATTAAAAAAGAAAGCAAAGAAAGAGAAACTCATCTATAAAAATCAGGACAAGTACAAAAGTTACTTATATTATTCCTTTGGGAAAATATCTGTATATCTGTATATACCGAATATCTAGAAGTGTGTGTAATATGAAATAATAACAAGAAAACAACTTCAGATTCATTCAACTGAACTGATAGATTTTCTATTTTTATTTCTGAAGAACAAGTATCCAGATATTTGAAGCATCGTCTATTCGAAAATTATTCTCTTAAGAAAGGAATGAAAAAATTCTTTTCTTTGTTGATCCTACAATAGTGTTTGAAGTTGTCGTTGTTGTTGTTGTTGTTTTCCTCTTCTCTCAAGTGTCTATACTGATTAATAATTACTTTGCCATATGTACACATACATTGACTATTAACTTTATTCAAATAGTAGACACAGAAAATTATACAAGTACGTGTTAAAACTTCATTTTTGTAAATATGTAGTGGTTTTGTAGATTATTTCTTTTTTCTATTTCATCTAATGGGATTATCCAATTAGATGTTGTTGTTACCTCATCCATATAATTTTGTCTGATAGTTTTGAACTTATACAATACAAAAAATCAGTATACAGAATTCTTTATGCTGCTATTAAAGATATTGTAGGATGTTTAAATTTGCTTGCTTATGTAATAATTGACCTCAGTTTGAAGTATTCAAGACAAAATCAGAGGTGATCTGTATATTTTTCTAGAAATTCAAGAATAATAAGCAGTTGTCTTCCTTTATTTTAGTGTATAATCTTACTTAAGTTCTATTCATGATTATTCCTGATATAGATCTCTAAGATATAAAGTTGGAATATCCATATTCGAATACCTTTGCTGATATATATGAAGTCAATATTTTCCATCAACTCATGATACAATCAGATGTTAGTGTTCTATGACATTTTACCTTTTTTACAATAAACGATTGTTTTTCAACTCCTTATACTCACAATGTTATCAATAATGAGGAACAATATATATTCTCTTAATATCTCCTTTAGAAATATACATCTTGATAAAGAAGTGTGATTAATGATTCAGGTCATCATAACAACGTATTAATTTTCCTTAATAAATTGTTTTCGTTGTATATGCATATCTAACATTGTACACAATGCATTACATCCAAACTGTAATTTCCTACACAATCAAAACTCTTCACTAGACTTGATTGCATAGTAATAATAAATACCTCTTGGAGATTTCACACGTAATTGTCTTTAGAAACACTGAATATTATTTTATTGATACAAATCGTGCATAATCAAAGTAAATAATTTCTTTAAAATGAATTTTAAACTTTTTTTCCTTTTTATTGATGAATCAACTTACAGCAGCCTATAGAAACTATAGTACATAGCATTAGATAGAAAGGTGACTTGTTAATACTCACCAACTGAGATTTATTCGAATGAAAAGAGTAATGACAGAACGGATTTGATTTTTACCGGTCGCTTACATTAAGTTGTGTTTTAAATTCAAAAATTAAGGATGAATTTTATAGTTCATAAATGAAATTGACTGAAAGTTCATGAAAACATGTATCACTGTGGGGTAGAGAAGATTGAAATATTACAAATGTATATCATATGCTACGTCGAGAAATAGAATCAGATATGAAAAGAATGAATAACAACTGGAAGGAGCTGGAAAGGATTGTCCAGGACAGGGTTAGATGGAGAATGCTGGTGAGAGGCCTATGTTCCTTCACGAGGAGTAACAGGCGTAAGTAAGTAACTAAGTATATCATATGCAAAAGATGGTTCTGGAATATTAATTTTGATGGTAGTAATATACATTTCGTCCATCAGTATAATCTGACTGTCTTCTGGGGAATCGTGCTTTCATCAATTGTCCACCCATTTTCTTATATTACCTATTAACTAGTTAATCACCTTTTTGGGTTAGACACTTTCTTTTACAATTCAATTGTTTATTAGTGTATTAAAATTCATCAGTAATTTTTTTGTGCCGTACTCAATTATTATGTAAGACAAATTATCCTTATATTACTAAATATAAGCTTTCATTAGGCTATATATTGTCTTAAAGGAAGGAACAAGATAAAACATCATCTCTCATTTGTTTCTAAATCTTTCCTATCAAAAATTTAATCTTGTATTATTCCGTTTTCCATTCTAAGGATTTTGTAAAGTGTATGTAATTACACTTTTTTTGGAAAACATCTAACAAACAATTTAAGTATACGTTGGTACTTTGAATGTTACTAAACTATATATGTGATCCAAACGAGTATAACGTTTAGTAAAACTACAGTTCCATATCACTACATCCGTGCAAAAATCCCGACTAGTTTTCAATATGCTCTACGGCTAACAATAACATTGATTGCCAGTATAGGGGTTGTGGAGATTATTAAGTTTTTGATTGAGATCATGAACCGATTGATGATGCTCATTAGTGACTAGCTTCGTGAGGGAATTCTCGGAGTTCTAGTGAGAAGCCGTGACTAGCGAAGATAATCCGTGTCAAGCAGAGACAGTACAATGGAAGATGGTCGCGCAATTTTGTGGATTGGTTGAGGTGAGACATTAACACCATTGAATACCGGCTCAGTGGTCCAGTCGGTTAAGCGCTTACGCGCGAGAGTGAAGGCCCTGGGTTCGAATCCTTTGAGCGGGGTCGTGGATGCGCACTGCTGAGGAGTCCAACAATAGGATGAAACGGCCGTCCAGTGCTTCCAGGCTTTCAATGGTGGCCTAACACCAATCTGTTCATGATCTCAGTAAAAAAATAACATTGATTATGATCAGTGTGAGTGATCAGTTTCTTAATTACTAGTCAGTACTTCGCGTACAATAATCTATCTTTTCTTATCTCAAGGTGGCTCCCTCAATTAAACAACGCCTAATTAGTACCGAAAATGAATTAATCCATGAAACTCAATTTTGTCGCGAAAATTGTCTAGGAGATTTTCAATTACGTGTAAGCAATACCAATGATCTACTTAGAAGAATTGAAGGCATCACTTTAAATGAAATCTATCGTAAGCTAATTTTTATTACATAATGTTTATCATTAGTTGAATTTGTTCTTAATTGTTTACTCTTGGGTTTTTTATACAATCCGAATGTACCAAATAAAAATTAGTCTGCTTATGTAGTTATCAGAACGAACCATGTGGTGAAGAATAAAACTAATGATAGTATTTGATTATTAATTTGTTGGGTATTTGTTTCACACTCTATGTAATGAATCGTTGTCAATTCCTGGATCCACTTTCCACTTATCCAATAGGGAATGTGGTTTGAATATATAGTAAATACGATTTTATCTTCCTCCAATAGAAATAAACTGAAAATATCGAGCTTATTTATGCAGTATAAGAGCATGACAGTTCTTCATTTTCTAGGTTTTAGGAGTACCGAAAGCAGACTATCATCTTAACATTGCAGGTATAAATTAGATGGATCGAAACACAAATTTCAATAAATTCATAACCATGAATGACCCCATAATTTTGAAAAGTGGGTATGAATTCCACCTTAAAAAGTCAATATGGTAATAAGTGCTGTCAAAATAATCCATGACAAGTTTTTCCTCATTGAGGAGTTTCCAATTGAAAATATCTAACTTTTAAAAAGACAAGTATGGACTGAAACCCAAACTTAGTATTATTTTGCTTCTAACTAAAACGATTCTCATTTTGTTGTTCAACTCTTCTTATTACGGACGATTCTTAGATAAGCGGTCGGGTTGTTTTCTTATATCCAACATTTAGGCAAAGTGAGATCCTATTGTCTGATATAACCCAGAGACTTCCGTTTCCTTAGATCGCGTTAGTTGCCTTAGTCAAGTGGTAAAAAGTTGAATCCCCATACCTTTCCTTTAGCTAAAACGCTGGAAATTAGGGATGGGGTCGCTAATCCCATCCTTTACCCGGAATTGAGACAAGCAGAGTAACCTTATAAGTGCTCCGATTGGGATCGGTAAACAAGTGTAAATCAGTTTGGTCGTCTTTGAAAGTGTACCCATATACAACTAATAAATCGGTAAGGAAAATTGAATGCTGTATTTCTCCGAGAAACTTTATCATACTTGGTAGCGCATGTGTTTTGGGAATATCATCGACCAGCAGTACCAGTAACAGCGAAGGAATACCTGTTCATATATTACAAAATCAGTAAGAAGGTTGGAATGCAGCCTGCATAAAAGAATAGGGTAAAATTACCGGTAGTTAATCGTATTTGTATCTGGATACCATCCAAAAACGACCCTACTTCCGTAAACTTTCTTGATAAACAATTAACATCTTTACTACTGAACAAAGAAATACCGTCAATAATGTCGTCCATTACATTATAGTTTAAGTAGGGTCGAAGGTTTTTCATCGGTTTACGTCATAGTGTTCTCCAAACTTCACTAATCTTATTTTTAGTCATGTTAGAAGGCGTAGGCGATAAGACTGTAACCTACAAATCAGTGTAAACCGTTAACAAGGAAGTTTAAACAACATCACATGGAACAGTTAGCAGCGAAGCATTTCTAGATATGTAACCTACATTAACACTACCGCATTTATTTGCTTCATTTTCATCCTTATCACTTTGTGTTAATGTGAAGTGTACTCGGTTTGAGTCCCAGAGTAAACATCAACTCTGAGATGCAGGAACATCCAGCTGACGAGTCCCAAATAGGACGAAACTCGCGTCCTGGATTCCACTACTAGCCGCTATCCATCTTTGCTTAGAATGCTTGTGAATTAAGACAATATCGAGGTGATACGCACAGGATGCACATATGCCGATAAGAGATTGATCAATTGCAGTGATAAAGATCAATGGGAAGATTCAATTAAACAATACCAAATGCATTTTTAATTATGTTAAATGAAGAAAGAAAACTGTATGCCAAGCTGAATTAGAAATTATTTCTTTTCACGTTTGTTTATTTAATTGTTGTATAGTTTAGGGTCATACTTATTTCCTACTTTATTAATCAGATATTTGTTAAGGTTAGCAAGTCAGTGCTCATTTAGTTAGTAACTTTGCTTGTATATATAACTCAGATCATTTAATGAATAGTCACATAAAAAAGCTTTGGATATAACACTAGTAAACTCAAAAATAGAGAATGATAATTAATCTAATATGAGTAGGTAATTAATTCTTATCCATTGATTATCATAATTTCACAGGTTGAAAGCATAAGTCGATTGAAGCTAGACCACCATGGAAAACCTGGAAGCACTGGACGGCCGTTTCCTAGTATGGGACTCCTCAGCAGTGCGCATCCACGATCCCGCAACACGCGGGGCTCGAACCCAGGAACTACTGGCTTCGCGCGCGGTGGTCTAGTGGTTAAGTGCTCGCGCGCGAAGCCAGTAGTTCCTGGGTTCGAGCCCCGCGTGTTGCGGGATCGTGGATGCGCACTGCTGAGGAGTCCCATACTAGGAAACGGCCGTCCAGTGCTTCCAGGTTTTCCATGGTGGTCTAGCTTCAATCGGCTCATGATTTCAACCTGTGAAATTTCTAAAAACTCTCCACAAAACCCATTCTGATGATTATCATAATTGTTAATAATTTTCCACGTAAATATCATGAAAGTACTCAAGAAGAATAAACTAACAAAAACTTTAAAACAACAAGTTTATTCGTCAACACAGTCATTTCATATAAATATGATTGCACAATTTCTTAAAGTAGAATCATTGAGAAGAATAGCTTGTTCATTCAAATATTTGTTAACGAGGAGTATAAATTTTAGTGAAAATGAAGTATCTTGTACACTATGTGGTTAACAGCGTGTTCCAAGTGGCATATAGCATGTTCTCTGAAGAAGTAACTTGCAATGAGTGACGTGACGTCAGGAAACTTGAAAATTTAATTCTTCTACTCATTAGGATATTACAAATACACTATTCTTATTAATCATATTCATCGTGGTTATGGAGTAATTCGCTATACACTAACGAAGTAAAAAATATTTCATCCAACAATTAGGGTGACACCACTTTATCATTCAGATCAATCTTACTTGTTCTATTTTGATAATAACTAATATGCGCACAACATTCTATTAGAATATTTTATAATATTTAATGACCCTCAGCATGATTTTCCTGAGTGACGGTCAATCAGTCAATCAGTCAGCTACAACGTAGGACCAGGCAGATATATGCATCGGTCCAAGTTGCCATACTTCATTAACACAACAACAAGATGAACACCGGATTCATAAAAGTAGTTAATTCAGAGGTGATAATATATAAAGAAAAGATTGCATATAAGGATATAGTACAGGAAGAAAGAATTAGTTCGTAGAAAAATATATGAGGCTATTTTAATCTTTCAGTTTAAGGGAAGACAGAGAGTGTATACACCGACGCCATTGAGATCGATTCTGAGCCATGTCACCAATAGTCTCCAACCATTGGTTGGAATATTCACACGGACCCCAACCAAGTAGTCTGCATCTCCCAACATGGCTCAGACTAGAAGTTAGTGACTTCAAGCACTGATGCCACGTTTTGGTTTGGCCGCCCCTAACTTTCTTCCAACCATCTTCAACACTGGTTAGCATTGCACGTCGTGGTAATCGGTGTTCAGGCATACGTAACACATGGCCCAACCATTTCAGTTTGTGAAGATTTACAACCTCATCAACTGATTTACCATCATCTCCTAATACCCTGAGTAACGGTAGCAATTTACATTTTGGTTAATTTCGAAAGATACTTCTCCTTATGACCGATAATTATCTTTCTACTAGCATTTGTTTTGATTGAAACATAATACAATTTTATCACTCACCACCTAGTAAAATTAATCAGTTATACTTTCCGTAAGTAGCTTATGAGATGGCAGTCTGTCAGGTGACACATGTAGCTATAAACCAATTAAATTTGAATGAAATAAATTTACATTAGTCGCAAATGATTGACCCCTGAACAGCGATCAGTATCATGTATATCTGATCACTTAGTGATAATCAAATTCTATCGATCAAGTTGCTATGTGAGCACAATTCGAATTGACTACTCAAATCACTCAAGAAGGATCAATTCCCCTAAAATTCGAGATGCACTTCACTGACGAATCCTAACTAAAACAAAACTTAGATTCACATTTTCTTCCTGATCCATTCCAACTACCCACCATTTACATTATTCATGATTGGATTTTGCGTTCATGCTTAAGAGATAGCTAATCAAAGCTATATCAACACGTTTCACTAACGTATAGAAAAGTTGAATATTATTATAAAATAATAGTGTGGTTAGTAGTAACTACTTTTAACTAGTATATGTCTATTAAACTTACTTTTCTTCAGCTCCTCCTGTTCCAAAAATTATTCTATCTCAATGTTTAGTTGAAAGTAATAGTATCCAACTATTATGGGATACAATCAATACATCGACTCCATTAAAAAATGATGAAAAAGAACATTACCATATGCAACAGTCATTTTCACTTTTAAACAATGCATCTAATTCAAATGAAGTTAAACGTGCTTTAGATCAAATTGATAATTCAAATATCCAGTTGAGTTCCAGTCATTCTCTATGCTGTAAAGACTTATACCATTCATTATCTAATAGTGGATTGACAACACCTGCAACTGTTCGTTTACAATCAAACTATCATATACCTGGATCTGTATCAGCATATGCTTTAATGACAAATTCAAAAGAAACAGAAGTCAGCAAAGAACAATACTTTCATCAGTCTATGGAGCATCGTGATCATCATCAACATAATCCCTTATCACTTTCATCGAATCAGTGTTCACTAACTGTTCCATCTACCCCAGAATTAAATGGATCGTATTCAGTAAATACCTTACATAAAAGTATAACAGTAAATAGTGATATTCGATTTCTATCAACTATGAATAATGGGGAATTAATTCAGTTTCAGTTAGAAGTAGACAATGGACGTGGTGGTCCATTCAAAGTACGTGTATTTTAATATCTATTTTAATGCTGTTATTTTCTGTTCACATAATTGAATTTCAGAGACTGTCAACTGTTCATCTGTAACTTAAGAGTATTTGTGTAATTTCAGCTGTAAAACAGATATATTTCGTAATGAAATGTTTATTTCTGCAACACTAAGGTGGATAAAGAACTAAAATAAAAGTAATTGTAGTTAAACACACTCAAACATGCCTCAATATCGAAAAATTTAAAACTTCAAATACAGTCATTTTAGGGGTTTCTGAAGATTTTTGGATTCCACGGTTTATATCACAACCTATAATTAAACAGTCATTGAAAACCAGGAATCATTGAAAGACTGTTTCCTCTTAGCATGGGATTTCTCAGCAGTGCGCATCCCCGACGCACTAGGGATCGAACCCAGGACGTTCAGGTCTTTCAACGAGTCAGTAAACTTTATGCTACTGAGCAGGCATCCAATGGTTTACGTATCAAAATAAAATTAGATGGTTTCCACAAACCTTTGTAGTAATAACAATCATGTATTCACCAGTGAACAACTTCAAAAGGCGATTCCTGGGGCTCCAGTGAGAAACTATTATCAGTGGAGTTCAACGGCGTTTAGATTAAGATAAATACTATCACTGGCAATGGACAATAGTCGTTCAACATGCCAGATTGATTGAAAAGGAAGCGCACTGTTGACTAGTCCAAAACCAGAACAAAGTGGATATCCAGTGCTACCTGGTCATTAATGGTTGTTTAATCGAGATAAATCCGTGATCTAGACTATTTTAACACAGTAAGCTAAATATTTTTTTCGTAAAAAGTTCATCCGAAGTGTATTATTTCTCCCGTAACTTCGTGAAGCCATATGATAGTGTTTCTTAATGTGCATATTTAACCAATATATGTTATCCATCTTGCAAATGTTATTTTATCAAATATAGTTACTTGTATTAATCTGATCGGATTGGTGTACTAAATGTACACTTACTACATTCATACAATTTTTAAATCCTCTTCTGCGCACAAGAGACACCTTTTCTTTTAAGTAAAACTGCATAAGTGAGAAAATCTCTTCTGTTTATCTGATGTAAATTATTATGACTTTGGCTTTAAACACTCCAATCACATTGAAGTGATAAAATTGTATTCGTACAATTGTTATCACCGTTTATTTATTATTTACTGAATGATAAGTAAATTACCTATATTCGAAACTGACAATAATTTTACCAGATTTGTCGTACTGTGACAGAAATTCGTCTTTAAGCCTTTATTGAATATAAACTAGTGATTTCAGTTTTACTCAACACTTCACAAACAAATAGAAAAACTTCGAAGTTTTGTTTATAGAAATATAAAATGAACAGAAGTCTCCGAAGTTGTCAGTAGTGTAAGTAAGTGTTGTGTTTGTTTACTTACTGACACCTGTTAACCCTCGTAGAGAAGCATAGGCCACCCACTAGCATTCTCCATCCTACTCTGTCTTGGTAAATCCTTTTCAGTTGTTACCAGTTGCTATTCATCCTTTTCATATCTACTTCCGATTCCCGACGCAATGTGTTTTTTCTCCATTCAGGATTCCAAGTTAGTGCTTGCTTTGTGATGCAGTTTGATGGTTTCCTTAATGTATGTCTTATTTACTTGAAACTTCTTTTCTTAATTCCTTCTTTAACTGAAAGTTGGTTTGTTCTCTCCCACAATAGGCTGTCGCTAATTGTATCCGACTAACGGACATTGAGAAACTATACCTAAAGCTTGTTATTATCTACATTTAGAATTACGTCATAAGTAAATTGAGATAAATGTCTTACATGACATTATGTTGAACATTGAAATATTTCTTTTTCAAAATGATTTTTAACCTAAATAAACAAATCTTACTGGAATATCTTTTTTTTCATTGTAACGTTGATTCCTCTCTCTTTTGGTCAATGTCATTTTTCTGTAATTTAATGTATCTATTTCTTAGTATTATTATTTACTACAATTTACAGACGGTTTAGTGGGTTATGTAATAAATAATCATATATGTATATATATTCTTCCCCCTTACTAATCCGCCATCTTGTGTTTAAGTTGGTTACTTCGGTTGAACTTTATATCAAATAGAAGTAAAGTATAGAGTCTATGAACAGTTAAATCATCTTTATACTACACTACAATTGTTCATTATTTTTTATTTATTTTCATGCTTACCATTCCCCACTTCACTATCACTTTTACTTTCCACAGTCAAGTATTCAATTCTATTCCAGTTGGTTAATGTATACTACAGTAAAGTGCCATTTTTCTAGTCTGTTGCTGAGTCAGTCATAAATAAGTGAAAACTACTTTTAGTTTTTCTCTTACTATTTTTCTATTATGATTGTTTTTTTCTTTCTGAAAATTATAGACCAAACAATCCTCTTTTTATTAGAAATTTCATTCAGTGTATCATAGTTTTTCTTTCCTTTATTTTTCTCTCTGTTCACCCTGTATAAGTTGAGAATAGCGGTTTTATGTTATTAACTTATTTTATTTGGTGTAAATTTTATCATTATTACAAAGAATTTGAAGACGCTGAAAAAGTATGGGATTGTAAAATTATCTTTCACTGGTATAAAAGATGTAAATCTAACTTATATTCTTGATAACTTTATCACAACATTGACTGAATATTTTTAGTTTACATTACAGATTTGTCTTAATTAGACACCTATTGAGGATCACAAAGTACTGGACAGTTTTTTTGGTTTTGGTATAAGACTCCTTAGCAGTGTGTATAAACGACCCCATCCAGTAACAAACCTAGGACATTTAGTCTTAACTTTTACAACCGAGTTAGGATCCAATGGCTTTCATGTTTAACTTCAAATCAACTACCAATATTGTATATATATCTCTTTCAGTGCTATTAGCAAACAACTGCATCACACTCGACATGGCTGAACTCCACGGGTCAAGACTTCTCACTAGAACTAAGTGAACTGTCTCTCAAGATTAGTTATTAGTAAACATATGGTTGTCATGAGTGTGAGGGGTTTGAGGAGATTATTGAATATTATAGTTTACGTTCCGAATTTAATAAATGTAGAAATGTAATCCATTAGCTAACAACTTATTAGTCTACAGTCTAAGCACTGACCGGGTAACCTGGTAGTCCGGTGTCTTGCTTTTTCTGGAGTTGTTGATACACATCTCTGAGCAGACCTATGTTGGATCTAAACGACTGCCCAGTTCATCCTAGTTATCAATAGTTGTCAAACAAAAATCATATATAAGCGAACAATATTGTTTTCGATTAGATCCTTATCAGGCTTTACTCTAATATACAGTAATATTTATATGCATATACGAAATTATTAAACCAATCAAGGTAGTTTATAAGTCAATGATAACAATGGAAAAGATTACATAATAAGTAAAATGTGAAAAGTACAAATTGATGGTGTGACAACAGGTGCATTAGTTTTGATAAGCAATAATAAAGGTTCAAATCAATGTTACATAATCTGGAATAGGTCAGTGATTAGAAAAGCATAGAAACTGAGATAACAATTATAAAATTATAAGATGACGTAATAAGAAATGTTCAGATAATTGGACCATGAAACGTATAGTTGAGAGAAAATAAAGTGGTAGGAGGGTGTGAAGAAAAATAATAAACGAAGAGAAAGTTAGAAAAAGAATAAATAAATTCATTTATTACCTTGATTAGTTTAATAATTTCGTATATGCATATAAATATTACTGTATATTAGAGTAAAGCCTGATAAGGATCTAATCGAAAACAATATTGTTCGCTTATATATGTTATTCTAAATTTACAATATGGGAATATTTCAAACAAAAATCAGTCAAGAATACAAACTATGAAGTTCATTAACCTTTCCGAATCTCTTTACCTAGTAAAAATGAAATAGTTTCGTCATCTGATACTTCTGAAAACATTTTAAGATGATATCGGTCAAGATTTTAGAATGAATACTAAATGAATTGTATGTGATGAAGGTAAACAAAACAAATCAGCTTATAGTTTAAAATGAGCAAATCTGTCCGAATGCCATTAAGTGGATCATTTAAAATTATTAATAAGACGGTTATAGTTTAACTAAAGTCAAAATATGTAGTATACACGAATAAATGGTTATCAAACTAAATTGTATCATCAGAACTTGTTCACGGAAAATAAATGGCCATTTTCACTCAAATAATTCCCGAAGCTGATCATTTAGAAATTTCAGTCAATTTTCTGTAACATTTTTCTTTCAATAATTGAGATCATGAGTCAATTGAAGTTAGACCACCCTGGAAAACCTACAAACACTGGATGGCCGTTTCGTCCTATTGTAGAACACCTCAGCAGTGCGTATTCATATTTTCCTTTCATTAGATTTTCTTTAATTTCATGAATAGAATTTCGTCCTATGAGATCGACTGATAGATCAATCCCTACAAATTACTCATCAGTTCTTAAAGTACATACATGAATGTACTAAATATCATATCCAGTTTCGAAATAATAAAATATATCAGAAGAGGTTTTGTGGAGATTGTAGTAATTTCAATAGTTGAGATCATGAGGCAATTGAAGTTAGACCACCATAGAAAATCTTGCAGCATTGGACGTTCGTTTCGTTCCACTGTGGGATTCCTCAGCAGTGCGCATCTGGGTCAGTTGTAAGATAGTAACTCACTGAAAACAATAGTGGACGCGTTGCTCAATCTCGTGGATTAGTTGAAGTTAGACATTAACACCGTTAGATGCCGGCTCAGTGATCTAGAGGTTAAGCGTTCGCGCGTGAGTCTTGTAGGTCCTGGGTTCGGATCTCGCAAGGCGAGGTCGTGGATATGCACTGCTGAGGAGTCCCATACTAGGACGAAACGGCCATTCAGTGCTTCCAGGTTTTCTATGATGGTCTAACTTCAAGTGACTCATGATTTCAACTATTGAAAATAAAATATATTTCAGTGATCAGTTATGAGTCTATGAACTGATGACTATAACATTAGTTCTGTTTATTTTTT